ATGTAGCTTTTGTAATTATCCACCAATTTCTTAGAATTAAACACTATCTACTGATTTGCATCGAAGCGTTTCTTATGATAGTGATTTTAATCACTGCCAGATTAAATCTATACTGGACCCAACTATGCAACATCCCCACTATGCCGCGACCCCACTGTGCTGGGTTTTTTTTTTTCGTATTAAAGGATATTACTTAAGCTTTCTTCTTCTTCTTTTTCCTAGCCTTAATCCCAACTACTTGGGGTAGGCCACCTTAATCCTAAACTTCCACTTGACACGATCTCCCACATCATCTACGCTCACATCAGCCGTCTACATATCACATTCAATTACATCCCTCCATCTCTTTTTTCCTCTACCTCTTGTTCCTTTAACATTAATTTCTATAACTTTTGTTACAGCTTTCGTTTCCTATCTCCTTATAACATGACCATACCATCTAAATCTATTTTCTTCCATCTTATCTACGATTAACACTACACCTATACTTTCTTTTATATGTTCGTTCCTTATCCTATTTTCTCTAGTCACTCCACTTATCCAACTAAGCATTCTCATCTCAGCTACACTTATTCTCTACTCTACTTTCTTGTCAACCGCCCAAGTATAAAATATAAGCTTTTAATTTTATTTAATTAATTAGCCACAAGTGATCAATTTTTATTACATAAGCTTATATTTAAGATATATATAAAAGTATACATTTTCAAAAGTTAAGCTGAATAAGTTCTACTTTTTATACGTATGTTTCAAGTTTTGAATGCCTTATATACAAAAAGAAATTGTCCGATTTAAAAAAAAGTAAATCGCATGAAAGGGGATATATAAAATATTTATAAGAAACAAAAATTTGTGTTAATCAATACATTTTTCAAAAAGTTATAGCAATTTAAAGTTGAAAACAAAAATTTTTAAAAATTGTAATAGTTGTGGGGATTGTTTCTATTTACAGTGAACGAGGGAATTTTTAAGGATACTACTATGATCAACTAGATCCGATTTATGATCTTTTGACATATCGTTGAAATAAATCGGTCCGGTAAGAGCTGAAAAAAGTGGCTACTAACAAAAAAACACATCATACTAATTTTTGTTTATTTCTTAATTTATATTTTGATGTCGCGCTCATTAAGTTTAAAAATATTGGTTCTCTAGAAAATTCTCTATAATAATAATATAAATATATTTTTACTTAACTAGCACAAAAAATTTAATTAATTTTAATAATTATTAAAAACTGAATTTTGCCAGTGAAAGAATAGTTCAGATTTCGTATTAAAAATTATGACTTTGCAATAAAACAATGTAAATATTTTGTTATAAGATCTACTAGCAACAACTTGTTACAATCAGATATAAAATCTTTTTAGTGAAGGACTTGGTGGTATCTGTTATCTGGTACTGTTCATTCACTGGTGCTTTTACCTAATAATCTATAAAAATGTAAATGATTGTATTGTTCAACTTTTAAAAAAGATCTTGAACAATACTATACAATTTTTTATAACGCTTTCTTCTTGTAGCAAAATGGTATAAATTATCCAAACAATTTTGTTTGACCTAAAAAATATCTTGTTGTTCGCTTTTTATCTCTAACTTTTTTTTTCGGGATAATTATAAAACAATTAAATAACTTACGAGTAGCTTTAGTTAATAGTTCTATTACTAATCTATAATAACAAGTTACTAATTGATACTCGTGACGGTCTGTTAAGTGGTTATTTCATAAAAGTGTATAAATTAAAATATAATTTATTTTTATAAATAATCATAAATATCAAGTTTGTTATTAAAAAAATTTATCTTTAAAGATAGATTTTAGGGGTATGATTTGAAAGTTAAATGGAACCCACAATATTATTTGATTTATTGTTAAATGGAGAAGGGTCTAAATAAAATTTTAACTGGTCAATAACTAGTATTGTATTGTTACATTTTGAGTTATTATAATTTTATAATTTGTATAATACTGTGGTTAAATTTTACTATATATAACGTCTATAAAAATGTCTACGACATTCGACCCTAAAGCCTACAGGAAGATTTGCTTCGGTGTCTAATTAGAACCAAATGCTCCAGTTCATTATTGTTGTAGTTATATGATATAATGCACGTATTTCTAACAGTTTTAACTCATTAAAATGATTTTAACGATTCAAAAAAGGGACGTCATATTTAATGATCATTCAATATTATTTATGAATTTAAAACAGAACAAGCTATTGTTTTGGCTCTCTTAACTAAAAAGAATTTTGCTGTTGAAATTGAATAATAGGCTTGTCCATTTAGATGATTTAAACAGTAATTGTAATAATTATTATTAATAATTAAAGGTAAGATATTTTGTGTAATCAACTAATCAAATACAAATTATATCAGTTTATTATATTCAGTACTATAATTTAAAGCAGTTTATAAGAGGTTGCCTATTTTTAAATATATAATAAATATGCAATTTTGATGAGCAAAATAAAAAAAATGTAACTATTTTTTTTGTTTAACCAAATCTGCAAGCCAAAAGTAAACAATCTTAAGACTGCATTTTTTAAAGATTAAAGCTGTATAATTTAAAAAATATTTAGTTAATGAAAATTTCAAAAACAATCTTATACTATATAAAAAAAAGTTTTGTGATAGTTTGATCCTAGAATAAAGAAAATAACACAATTTTTTTACCTGTTATTCTAAGAATAGACCTATTCTATCGAGGATGAAGATAACAAGAGCTTGACATTACTAATCAAAAACAGTGTCGGTCTGGCCTACCTTACTATTTTGCAATCATTGGAGGCTCTTGGATATTTTTTAAAATTAGTGGCCTGTTGTCTATTGATTTTCAAGCCCTTCCATGTCTTTGGTAGGACGGAAAGTTCCACTGCTTTACATTCTGAAAATTACCAAGTAACTGTTTTTTTCTACGTTATACTTCGAAATGCTGTTGTCGATGGGTTCCCTGAAAATTTTATATTGGTAACGCAAACATAAGTCAGACCTACATTGATTGAAAAGTAACCGATATTCAAAGAATAGGTATTAAAATAAGCAAAAGCGGAAATTTTTTATATTTCCGTTTAGATTCGGTTATTTTTTTGAAATGCAAATATTTAAAATATCCAATACAGTTTTTGTTGAAATAAGTATTTTTTGAATTTTGATTACGATTGCAGTTATAAAAATATTGTAAAATAATAACAGTATTCTTTTAAATACCTAAATTTATTGTATAATAAAAAGATACAGAACTGACTGTTAAATAACATTTTATCTTTATAAACAATATTAAGCTTTTTTCCATAAAATATATATTTATTTGTTTTTTGTTGTATTTATAAAATACAGTGGTTTTCTTAATATCTGTCTTTTATAGGGAGCCGGATTAAATAACCTATATGGGATCCCGGTGCTTTACCTTAAGATAGACCCCCTATAGAAAATATCACTGCCATAAAAAAGTGATGAGCAAAACAAAAACAGTAATCTGACACTAATTATGACAAGCTAGTAAAATTTGTGATGAAGCCCGGGGCGTTTTCTTCCCATTGCCCTCCCCCCATTATCTGGGTTGGTCTTTAATAACTATATTTAGTTTCGCTTTGCACCTTTCTTGAATCATAATTCACCGGAAGTCGACATCGTTGGCTGCAACCGACATCATATCCTTCTTTCTTTAGTAATATTCTATATGTATATTTATTAACATTATGTGCACGCGCAAAATATAATCAATTGATCTGCTCCGAGCAATGTTTTCTGTATGATGTGGATGCATATTTTTAGAAACTACTAAAGCAGAGGCACGCATACAGCCTACTCCCACCACAAACCAATACATATAAGACTATAATTAAGGGAGACTAAAGACCAAACGATGGTGAACATTAAAAAGTACTAGTCAATATTTTTAATCAATAAACTTAATAAAAACGATAAAATACTATTTACAAAAATTGTCTCATTTTTACACGTACAAAAAAATATAAATATTTATAATTGATATAAAAATAATCAATTTGTGTATAAAAAAAAGTATAAAATAATCAAATGGAAATACTTAGTTACAAAACAATACTTTTCGATAATTTAAAAATTGGCTTTTTAAACATATTTTATTCTTGATTCACGTTATTCCATTCACCTTCCATCCTCCAAACACTAAATGCGTAACTTAGTTGTTCATGAGCAACATAGTTGCATGAATTTACTCCAGAAGTACCTTGTTCTAAAAAATGAAACCATTAAACAATGTTAATAAATTTGTTTACAATTATCCCACTTCGCTCAAATATAAAGTATGATACATTTTTATAATCTGTATATTGTGTTCAATTATAGTTCAGTGATTTTGGAATAACTGAAAACATGTGAAAATAGTCCAATATTTGATATTTATCAATCATTTGTTCATAACTATTAAATCATATTATTAATTTCAATTTTGAGTTCTTACCCTAGTTTACCTTTAAGTTTATAATGTTAATATTTATCAATGAAAATATCAATTATTACTAAAGATAATACGTTAAAAAGCGTTATCTTAAATGTGGAATGGTTATTTTATGTATAGCGTCAAGCAAATAAACTAATAAATCCGTTTATTGGATAGTTCATCGATATTTAATTTAAATCAATAGCGAAAATTATTAAATGGCTGTTTTCAAGTAGTTGGGATTAAGGCGAGGAAAAAGAAGAAGAGTGAATACTATTAAATATTACGAAAAAATTACTAAAATTTATTTTTTGGCTTTTGGTCGTTATTATGTGAGTAACACTATAAACGCTTAAGAACACATGATGTGTGATTTGAGTGGTTGTTGATTTTACGGAATCCCTAATCATGTAAAACGTGCCTTTTCTAATTTTTACAATAATACACTACATGCAGTGTATTTTTTCATTGCAAATCAAGGATGTGTACCGGAACAGACAATGTTATTGAGTAATAAACGTTCTTAAGCGTAATCCTCAAGGATTATATTTTAAACCCTATAAAAATGTGAAAATATCATATAAGTAGTACCGCGTTGTTTAATATACATGATGATATTTTTAATTTTTATACAAATTATTTTTTAATTTTATTTATGTTCCTGTTTATTTATTCATTGAACAGTATATATGAATCCAAGAGTTAGTAATTAATTTACGACCCACCCATAAGGTTCTTTGTTTTAATGAAATAATGTTTGATGCACTTTAATTTCAATTATAGATAGTATGTTTTTTTATTATTTTTACCATTATTATATTTTAAACAGAATTTAACCAATTTAATGCTTCAAAAATATCCCTTAACCACAAAACCGTCTTAAAATGTTTACAGCCGTCTTGTAGCAAAAATATGAAATGCTTCAAATAAATAACATAACGGATAATTATTAAATTAAACATTATTAAAACGTATTTTCTTGTACATTTTTTTAATAGTGACGTAGTACCTATAAAAGGCACTTTACAACAGTTACTACATTTATTTTTAGTGTGGCTTTTCTTAAAGCACATACTAAGGGATTGTAAAATTATGTTATTAAAAATATTGTTGTTTGGTACACAATACATTAGTAACAACTATTTACCTATTGAATGTTGAGAATCCGAGTCAGTGCTTAAATTGGGTAGTGCAATATCGTCCGAATTCGCTTTGTGTAGTACTTGATAAAGAAAATCAATATATCTAGTAGCTAATTTAAGTGTTTGGATTTTTGAAAGTTTATCTGAAGGAAGTGTAGGAATAATTTTTCGTAATGATGCAAAAGCTTCGTTAAGGCTTTGAGTTCTCTGTCGTTCTCGTACGTTTGCCATAACTCTTTGACTTTGCATTTCTTCGGGTGTCTGAGGTGATCGTCTTCTAGATTTAGACGGCGTTTGAAATTCTTTGGACCTAGAGGCTCGTTTTTTTCCTACAATCAACCAAAAACAAACGATGTTTATTAATGAAATTTATGTTTATAACCTAATTAAATAACTTCATTCAAATAAACATACAATTGTAAATTATATATGCATATTGGAAAGGGACTTAGAATTTAATAGTTCATTTATTCTTCAATATAGTTTTAGATTAAATATATGCATGCATTTTGTGTATGAAATAATCCTGTCTATTATCTAAATTTAAATCCAACTTGTAACGAAGAATTTTTAAAAGCGTCTAGTAAAAAAATGTTTAGGTCCTTCAAATTTTATCTTGAAGTAGCGTTTATAATGTATATGAAGAAGAAAATAAATCAATCATTTTTTAATAGCATTAGATAATACCATAAACATATAGAACATTAATGGATTACTTTCAAAAGTTGTTAAAATTATGATCATATTTCATCATTTAGTTATTTTCACATTTCTAGTTTTAAACAACTTCTATTATTCGTTGATTTTATTATTTTAAAGTAATCGAAACATAAAAACAAAAACATAACATTTTGACATGCAGCTACTAAATTTTAAAAAATGCAAGTTCAGTTCTCGAAAACATTATTTCATAACATTCTGTCATTTACTTTTAAATTACTGTTTTTTTTACATATTTGGGCTGGTCAATGAATGTGATGGAATCAAATATTGAAAAAAACAAACATTAACTTAAAATCAAGTATAAATAAAGGATATTTATAATTACCTTTTTTAATTTCTGTGGACTCGTTTTCTTGACTTGGTGAGTTGCCACCGACACTACAATCATCATACTCTGACTTGACAATTATTCCGTAGTCATAAGGGTAAGTGTTTGACAAGTTTGCGAATTGTAAATCTTGCGGCGTGTGCCAGCTATATGATGAGACTAGATAATCACCGTTAGGTTTATATGAAGAATCCGAATCCATCATCATAGTCACACAAGTAATGTTACACTAGAATTTTTTCTTTAAATATTTTTATTAAAATAAAATACAAAAGCCGTTAGATTATCTACTGGAATATATTTTCCACTTCTACAGGGACTGTGATCACCACTGACGGCTTACCAACTAAGATAATATGGCGGGTCCTTGAACGTGATCTAAATTAAGAACAGCCCGGCGGGTGGGGGTTAAGACTTATCCCACTCCATAAAGATATCTCTGTTGGTTGCATAGAGTAGAAATTTTGTACATCTGCGCGGGAGGAGCCTCCTGGACCTCGCCATGATTGATAGCCTCAAGACACCCGGCTTCTCATATCTTGTCTTATACTACCCTTATGGTCATACAATAATATACTTACGCAGAATATTTCTCAACACCATTCTCCTTCTTTGTCGCCGTTGTGAGTCAACTTCCTTTTAGTTGTTGCATCCAGAAATAATTGGTTCCTAAATAAGTATGTTAATGTAAAGCATTGTATTAAAATTTTAAATTAAAAGATCTTATTCTGAGGATTATCATTCTTTAATTTTTTAATTATATTTGCATTAGCAACTTTATTACAGTCAATTATATATATTAAAAATTTAAAAATTATAGAAAATGAAAATTATTATTTTATTTAATGGCTCCAATATATTTGTTTTAGTTTTAAGTATTTTTAAATAAGTATAAAAAAAATGAAAATCAATCTAATATCTAACAAATTTTACAGTAGGTATTCGAAAAATTATCATAAATTAACTTTTTGTAGATTAAATAAAAATTATTAAAATGTTGAAATATTAAATTCTAATTACAATGTTATTGCAATTCAAACGCATTTATTGTATTTAAAACATTACAAAGTATAAATTAATGAATTATTTTATTTTGTATTTTAGTTCATTTTATGTAAAAAAATTCATTCAGCTTGTATAACAGATCTATACTTATTATTATATATTATGTAGCTCATAAATAAGTGTATATATTTTTCTTCGTAACTATCCTAAAATATATTCACCTGTAGATAAATATTTGCCACAGAATAAAATTAACCTCCATTGCATTTTATCAAGGTAAGTACGAAAAGACCAATAAAACAAATTAGACTCCTCCTTTTCAAATCTTTACAGGTATTATTATTTCCGTTCACCTGGTTAAGCCAATGGAACGTGTTTTTGAACCCCTCAATAAAAATGGTGCCTCATATGACTAATCCCAAAAGAACCCCTACGTCGAGGGTACAACATAAAAATTGTAAAGATTACACAGTCTGTATCCTAAATAAGTATGTATGATTTTCTCCCCTACTCTCACATTTTTTCTGTTCCTATATCCCAAGAAATAATCGGCAGGTCAAAAATAACCCAGTGTTTGACTTTAGCAACCCATGTCCATCAGTTAGTTGTAATATTAGATTTTATTTTATGTTGTTACACATTCAATTTTTAGTTTACTATTGTTTCTAAATTCCAGGACAAAATATTTAATAACCCACAACATTTTTTTATTTTTAAAACTTTTTTTAATTGATAAAAAAGGCTATTTTAAATATTTTAGTTAAATGTAATTAAGAATTTATGTTTAGGTTTATTATGTTCAAATAAACGAATTATTCATAATCGTTAACAATATTTTCTGTTTTTCTTAATAACTTACAAAAAATGAGTAGTAAAATTCAATTACATGTATGATGTCAAATGTCAACGTTGACCCTTCATTTCTTCTTTGCCTATAATTACCTGAATAGCTGTTAATTTATTATTTATCATATTTGTACAGTTAATGTATACCTTATATGTATAATGTGTATATATGTTCAAAGGATTTATCCCGTATATTTAATAAAAATAAAAAATAAAATAAAATAAATTTTTAAATAAAAAATTTTTTTAAAGCACAAGTCCTATAACACATAGTATTTACCTTTATACAAATTTGATACGTAACATTTACTTTTTAAGAGATATTTAACATTTTGTATATTGTATACTATCAATGTTAAAATTAAAAAGACAATTTATTAGTACTTTTTTAATATTTACTTTTATAAATTATACATATTGTTTTTATATTGCAAGCAAGTCAAAAATTTTTTTAAATCATTTTTGTTCAATTTGACTATATTACAGGTTAATAAAACAAGATAATCTGTATATAATTAATAATTATTAAATATAACAATATAGTATAATATATTTAAGGTAATATTTTTACTTTACTTTATTTAAATAACTAAATTTTTATTGGACTTGATAAGTTAATTTAACTCAACAAGTTAAGAACAATTTTAAGTACACATTTACAGTATAAACAGAAATAGTATAATTTATGGAGATTTATAAAAAGATCATGGTAAATGCGTTCTTTTAATTATATTAATTTTATCTTATAATTAGGCAGAGGTAATTCGTTCGATTGCTGTCTTAATAATGACTGCAGTGACATATGTTACAAGAGATGTAGAATAAAAAACCCAGCACAGGGGGGTCGCGGCATAGTTCGATCAAGTATAATGATATCTGACAGTGATTAAAATCACTATCAAAAAAAACGCTTCGATGCAAATCTTTAGATAGTGTTTAATTTAAAAAAATTAGTGGATTATTCCAAAAGCTACATGATCTGCTAGTTCCTTATTAATATCCTGATTAAGATAAAGTATGTCAAATGAAAAAGGGAATATTAAAAAATATTATTTCTCAAAAAAAAATTATGTTGATCCATACACTTTTCAATAAGTTATAGTTTTATATTTAAAAATGTAAAAAATAAAATCGAGAATTTTCACACAATAATAGCATTTGGTAGCCATTTTCACCGTGAAGATAAAATAAAGTTCGAAATTTTTTTTTTCCATAATAAAGTATATTACATTAGCTTTAATTTAAGATATATATAAAAGTGTCAGACTTTCCGGAACACTTTCAAAATTTAAGTTGAAAAAGTACATTTTTTTTGAAAAAGTTGTCATTTTAAATCCCCCCCTGTGGGCAGGTAAAAAGTCAGATTTATAAAAAAAATATACCAAATGATAGGTAAAGACATCATGCATCTACAAAAAAAAGAATTATATTGATCCATACATCTTTCGAGAAGTTATAGCATTATAAAGTTAAAAATATAAAAAAGAATTTTTTTACAAAAATCGTATTTTTTTTATTAAGTTTAATGTCTGTTTTCACCATGAAGATAAAATAAAGTCCGAAATTTTTTTTTACCATTATAAAGTATATTACATTAGCTTTAATTTAAGATATATATAAAAGTGTCAGACCTTCCGGAACACTTTCAAAAGTTACGTTGAAAAAGTTCTACTTTCTATATGCATTTTTATGTTTTGAATCCCCCCTGTATTTAGGGAAATGGTCCGATTTAAAAAAACAGTATGTCGAATGAAAGATCTATATAAATACTACTTCTCATAAAAAAATTGTAATGATTCATACATTTTTCAAAAAGTTATAGCATAATAAAGTTAAAAATGGAAAATACAAAATCGAAAATTTTCACACAAAAATAGCATTTGGTAGCCATTTTCACCATGAAGATAAAATAAAGTCCGAAATTTTTTTTTTCCATGATAAAGTATATTACATTAGCTTTAATTTAAGATATATATAAAAGTGTCAGACTTTCCGGAACACTTTCAAAATTTAAGTTGAAAAAGTCAATTTTTTGTGAAAAAGTTGTCATTTTGAATCCCCCCCTGTAGGCAGGTAAAAAGTCAGATTTATAAAAAAAATATACCAAATGATAGGTAAAGACATCATGCATCTATAAAAAAAAATTATATTGATTTGGTCATTTTTGAAAAAGTTATGACAGTTTTAAGAAATAAATTTCGAAAATTAGCGTTTTTTAAATTTGTAATTTTTTTGGAGGTTTCCCCCATTTACGGGGAACGAGGGATTTTTTTTCAATTTTTAAGGGTAATGTCTTCGACTAGATACGATTTGTTATCTTTTGACGTATCATTGAAAGAAATCGGTTCGGTGAGAGCTGAGAAAAAGTGGTAACAGACACAAAAAATAAAATAAATAAATAAAAAATAAACACATCTTAGTAAAACCAATACCTTCTCAGCTTCGTATCGAAGCTAAAATGGAATTTGTGATAATAGGTTATACAATTATAACTGTCAAAAATTATTTACTTATAACGGTTTGGGAGCTGATTTAGACGAGTCATATTTAATCATCTCAAAAAACGAGGGATTCGCATCGAAGCTAAAATAGGAGATCATGTAGCTTTTAGAATAATCTACCAATATTTTAAAATTAAACACTATCTAAAGATTTGCATCGACGGGTTTTTTTTTATAGTGATTTTAATCACTATCAGATATCATTATACTTGATCCAACTATGCCACGTCAACACTGTGCCGCGACCTCCTGTGATGGGTTTTTAAATTCTTAAATCTATGTAAAATTATATTATTAATTTTTTTGATTTTAGTAACTACATAAAATTTACAAGTACAAAAATTATTTTTTTGGCACAAAAAACTTATTTTTCTTAAAAATTGGAGGTATCATTATTTTTTAGTAGTACATTAGTATTAATTTATAAATGTAATTAAATTACTTAATTTCGTTATAGTAAAGTAACAACGTTACAGTAATGAGTAATTTAAGTTACTTGCCAAATTGATAAAGTGTCGTTGGTAAATCCTTTTTTTATATAACATGGCTTATATAAAGTCATGTTAGCTTCACAAATTTCAGTGGAGTAGCCACAATTTTATGAAGGGTTATAATAAAAAAATGTTAAACATATTTTAAATATTTATTTCTTATTTCATTTTAAAAATGAATAATGCTGTGAAAGGTGAGAGATGAACATAATTGAATATTGAAAAATGGAAATACATATGTAACTAACAAAAACAAATGTATACAAAACGTATTATTTTAAGAGAAATTGAGTGACTAGCGTTAAAAAAATCACATAGTATGCGCAAATACAGTAATTATTAAAACTATAACTTTTAAATGAAACTTTGATTTCTTATCAATAAATTGATGAGAAATTCTATATATCGTTTAGTAAATAAGTTAATTAAAATAAACGATAAGTCTCATCTCTAGTTACCATCATGCGCTATTAATATCAAATAATTATTAAATTAATTATGTATATTTTACCGCCAAAACACATTGTTTGATAATATCAAATATGTGTCAAAGATAAGATTTCTTATATTAAAAAATAACAAACCATCTTTAACCGTTTTATAACCAAGATAGTAACCATACTGGTCACGATGGTAAAATAGTATATATAATAACTATATTTGACAAGCGTAAAGTGTAAAATGAATGTTGTTAATACATTTTGGATTTTTCATTTGCTGACTAACATCGAAGGCTTAGTAGTTCAAACTTTTGTTTATAGCAGCCGGAATACACATGAATAACCAATTTCCACATTTGTTGTCTATTATCAATTTTAATGACTTGTTATAGATTATTGCATATTAAATTCTATAAATTAAAATAATACTTATGAATTATTATTGTCAAATTAGAAATCATAATCCATTTAATTATTTCACTGTTATCATTTTTAGTATTTCCTTCCAATAGTTAATTTTTTCTATCTTACGCTGCTATTTTTTCCAAAAATGTGATCATCCAAATTTTTTATGTGTGTATATTTTTTAACTTGAAATTTAACCAAATGCCACCAACAAGAAGGAGAAGTAAGAATTTTTTCATAATTTACTTCTTTAAATAATAACATTTTATGTTAAATATTCAAAATGAATTATAACTAAACTTTTATTTTTGAATATAATTATAGGTAGTCGTACTTCAGTTCGTAGAGTGTCTGCTCGTCAAGGAGTTCCTAAAGATGTATTAATAGAATTAAGTCCTAGACATGATAAAGCCTGTATGTTTTGTGGGAGAAAAGAAATTAGTGAAAAATTATATGGTCAATTATATCAATTAAATGATGTCATAGTTCATTATTTTTGTATAGTAAGCAATTTATTGTAATAATTAATTAAAATTATTATAATATTCATTTAAAATTAAAATATATGTTATTCAAATAGCCACAAAAAATATTAAAAATTTGCATAAACGTAATTCAAGGAAAATGCTTTTGTGAATGCAAGTTTTTAATATTTTTTTAGCTATTTGAGCTACATATATTTTAGTTTAAATTAAATGTTATAAATATATTTTTCATTTAAAAGGTATTAGCTACTAGTCAATAATTCTTATTTTAAAATTAATTATATTTTTTCAGTTGCTTTCTTCTCAAGCTATTCAAAGAGGTCAAGACAATGAAGGAATATGGGGTTTTTTATTAAATGATATTAAATCTGAAATTGAAAGAGGATCTAAAGCAGTAATTATTCTTTTAATAATTGTTAAAGATTATGTATCTTGTATTCTGTAGTATTTGTACTAAGAATACTTAATATTAATTTACATTATAATTTAATTTTTTAGGTATGTATTTATTGTAAAAAAGTTGGAGCTACTATATCTTGCTGTTCTTCTAAATGTCGAAAAATCTTCCATCTTCCATGTGGGATGGAGCACGGATCTATGCATCAATTTTATCAGACTTTTAAGTATTTAATTAAAATATATTGCATTTCATGATAAAATTTTCATCAAATATTGAGCAATATTTATAAATTTTAGATCATTTTGTCAGCAACATAGAATAACTCAAACAGTAGATTTACAAGAATTACAAAAGTCAGCTTGTGTACAGTGTGCTATTTGTAAAGAAGATGTAAAACCAACTCCTTTACCATCATCTTTGTGGGCTCCATGTTGTAAACGTAATGCATGGTTTCATCGTAGATGTATTCAAGAGTTAGCTTTAAGTGCAGGTTACTTTTTCAAATGTCCATTATGTAACAATGTTGACATATTTAAAGCTAGAATGTTAACTCTGGGCATATACATTCCTTCTAGGTAATTATATGTATTTATTCAACCAAAATAATTAATTATCATTAAAAAAATTAAACAAGAATCATTATTGAAAGTTTTTATTAGCATAAAATATTATGAATATTAATATTAAAAAAGAAAAATAATAATAATAAAATCATTAATTATTTAATAGTTATAATCTATCATAGTTTAAAGTAGCCTAGTATTTTATAACTTCTAACTATACATTGTGTATTTTTCTCTATACTAAACTAGAATTAATATTTAATTAATCTGAGTACTTTTTGTTTTTTTTTAACTTAATGTCAACAAATATTTGTTGTGACGTGTTAGTTAGAATATTGTAAGTAATTATTTTATGATTTAATCTGAAATATCTTGATCATTTTTAGATACTTAATTAAGTTGTGAAAGACCATTAATTAAGTATATTTGGAGTATAATTGATGATAAAATTAATAAAATCTATCAAATTATATTCCTTCTTAAAACTTAAAGAGTTAATCTTAATTCAAGAAGTCTTTTAAATTTATTATTATGTTATTGACATATAGATAAAAGGAACAATCAATATTGAATTAATAACTTACTAGGTTACTTTAATAAAATATCCTTAAAAAAAATTAATCGATTTTAAAGATTAAATGTAAAACATTTTCATAACATTTTATAGAAAAATGTCAAAACTTTATCTAAATTTAACTTAATATAAGTTTATATTTGAACAAATCTTTAATCATTGGTTTAGTTAAACTTTATATTTTTTAGTGTTATAACTTATTACATTACCATTCTATACTATTTTGTCAATTATAATATTATTGTTTAATGAATGAAATTGAAAAATACAGAAAAAATTATTTGAACGACACAATTGATACAAAAATAAATTCTTGTTAATAAGTTTTCTCTTGTGAATAGAAAATAAGTTCTCTTAGTTTTAACTTTTATTTAAAACAATTTAATTATTTTGTTATATCCTTATTTTTATCATAAAAGTTACCTAAAAAAAAAAAAATTAAAATAAACTGAACGCTTATTTTAAAAAATGAATAGAAAAGAAGATACCTAGTATGCCATTATTTAAATATAGTCAAACGCGCTCACTGTGTGACGCTCCAAATAATTTTTAATCTGTAGAAACCGTTACCTGAAAAAATTAAATCACAGGGACGCTTCATGGGAAACTGTGCCAAATGCTTATGCTGAATTGTTAGAAAGACATAGTACATGTAATGCTGATACTTGTTTGTGCCCACACCCACAAAAAAGAAACTATCAACAAGAAACGTAAGTTTTTAATAAAATTTTGTAAAAAATATTTAAATAACAATAAATACTATTTTTAAGTGGTTCATGGGAAATTATCCTTTGTTATACTTGTGGTTCAAGTGGGACTCACACTCTCTGTAGTTCAATTAAATGTGATCAACCTTGGTATTGTAGTTCTTGTCAATCCATTACAGGTACGGTATATTTATTTAAATTTTTTTTTTTTTTTTAATGCTTTATAAGCTTATTAAGAGCTATAGTAGCCTCCTTCAAAGGAGGAAGTTTCTAAACCATTGATACTCCGGAACGGTTGTTTAGAACGTAGTCAAAGAGAGGGATGGCGATTCCAATTACCAAAATAATCTCTCATTCAGTAAATGAAGCCACCCGTAACTAGTTACAAACCCGAGGCGATGTGCGTCAAGCACTGCTGTGTTACCAACTCGGCCACACCGTTCCTCTTATTTTTCTGATTAAAATAATTATACAAAGTGATTCATTAAAGTTATGAGACTCATTTTTTTTATAAACTATTGATAATTTTTAAAAATACTATGTAGTTTAACATTTTTATTCTATTTCTGTAGGGATAAATAACCATAACTTTAATTTTCTTTAATAGAACTCCTGTTTCTAGTTTGATGATATGATAGGAAAAATTTGTTATAACAACTTTTATCTGGTGAACTATTCTGTTATTGCTTGTTAAAATAAAATGATTTTTAACCAATTTTTGATGAATAATAACTGTTTAACATATATTAGTTGTCTTTTCATTATGATATTATATATAAACAAATTTCTATTGAAAACTCTAGTTTTCATATCTATCACTTACGATAGCAAAAATAAATATTGATAATAATTTATGGTTTATTGAAATAGATTATTGTCACCTCTGATATTATGTGAACCAAATTAATAATGAATTTAAATTTTATATCAAAATTTTAAAACAATTTTAAAATGGTTTATCAGATTAAAAGAATCAAAGGAACAAATCTGTTTAAAATTAAAAAATATATAACTCAAAAAGCCACAATAATTACTAAAAAAAAACACTATGTTAAGCACTGATGGTAACATTGTTCCCAAAAGATGCTTAAGCTTTTAGAGTTAAATTTTTTTTTTTTAAGTTAGTATTTTAAATTATTATTATAGAATAAAATTAAATAAAAAAAAAAATTCCATAATTTCATCAACCTGGAGTTCCATTAAAGAAAATATATGTTAGGATTTTTATTTTTAATAAAGAGATGAAAAAAAATTAACTACATATCATTGTTGATTTTTTTTGAATAAAACAATATTTTGTTTTCAGAAATGAAAAATTCTAAATTGTGGTTAATAAAATGAGTGTCTCATCTTTAATCATACACTCTGTATACAAATAAATATATATTGTTATCTGTATATTTTTATGAAGTTCACTTACATTGCAATAATTACTAATGTAATATTATTAAACAAATGGCATAATACATATCAATATATTTTCTCTATTGAAAGCTTATTTACTATTATCTTTTAAAATAAATTTTAATACTTGGAATACACTTCTTTACATAATAATATTATACAAATAAATATATATAAATTTAACTCTTGAATAAAAATTGAAAATTACTTGTATAAATACTAGGAAAATATATCATAATTTCAAAATGGATTTCTACAGATTTTTAATCTAGAATTGAGTTTAGAAAATTTAACATTTCTAAAATTAACTTTTAGAAGGACCTAGAGAAGCTAAACGAAGACGTTTAGACGACAGTATAGTTTTTAGTAATGGCATTTCTCAAAATGAAGAAAAACATTTAGGGGAATCTATAAGACTAAATGCCAACACAGATACTACTACACATAAAGAATCTGAAGAAATTTTAACTACATCACAACCTTTAGATACTTCAATAATTGTAATTGACAGCAGTGATGAAGATGATGATGTACAGGTATAATATATAAAAAAAAATATACATTAACAATAGGTTATTTAAACAGTAGCCCCTACTTGTTGAAAATACAAGTTGAAAATTATTTGTTATTTTTTCCAGGGTTGGCCCAATAGAATGCGTGTAGTATTATCTAAGTATTTCAAAATATTTTCTAAGTTTTGTACGTATAAATCGCATGTATTTTATAGGGTATTAAAAGCTTCAATATTAACAATTATGAGCTTCTAGTAGTGTCCTTATATTTTAACTAATTGTTTTACAAAGCTCTTGTCTAATTAATTCTGCTAATATTACACTAAAATAATACTGTATTTCTATTAAATTTTTAAAAAAATTCTAAATTTTAAACTTTCAAATTGATTTGAATATGTAAATATACCATCATAATTAAAGTGTCATATATATCATTGGTGAAAATGAAACTAACATTGACATAACATAACCTGTTTATAATTTATAATTTTAATTAGTACTAAATTAACAAAAAAAAAACTATTTGTCTTAACTCGTTGTTAAGTATATTTTATTCTTCTTAATATACTAATGTAATCTTAAATAACTACTACTAAAATATTTTACACTTATAAATAATCAGATTTTTATCTATTTTATTTCGTCATTAGTTATTGTTAATATAATATGTACAATATATTGTTTATTAAAATTAGGTAAAATTTTTCTTTTTTATTAAGAACAACTAAATATTTTAATTATTTAATTTTTATCAACAATAATTAAAAATTAAAGTTTATTTAAACTACTTATAATTATAATTTCAGGTTAATTAAAAATTGTGACCATTATACTTTTGTTTTCTTGATATTTATTATTTTATTTGATATTATATTACAAACTGAAGTCTGAATACAGTTAAGATAAGAGATAAAAAAAATTAAATATAAAATGGTACTTATTAAAAAAAAACAGTAATTAAATAAGTATAATTCAATTAAAGTGACAATAATTTGTTGTTATAAGTGCTGAATAAGTAATCAAAATGGTTACTAATAGTATTATCATATTATAAAATAATGTTAACTGATAATAATAATATATATCTGCGAAAGGTATAACAGTATACAGTAATGTACAAATTAAATTTCACCTTAATTTTCTTTTAATGTTAAAATTTGTCAAATATCATAAAGTTAGACTTTAGTTAATCATTTTTAATGTGTTAAATTTTCAAGTATACATGATCTTATAAAATTATCATTTACAAAATTCTGGGCTTTGTTTAAGTAACCATCTGTTGAGTCAAGTTTATTATTACTTTTTACTATGATGTGTTTATTTTTAATTAAGAAATTTGTTTTTAGCTGGTTGGATATGTGGACCCTCCAAAAATGGTTAGTCGCCTTCCTTCTAGTCAATTACCAGTTATATCAAGTTATATATCAATGAGCAATAATTTACCAGTTGCAAATGGATTTGATCATGAGTTTTCTTCTTTTCATCAAACAAAAAATGACAGCTATGTTTTTTCTGAGAGTAAATATTATTATATTTTATTTAACTTGAATAGATTAATGTTTTTTTTTTTCAATAAAAATGTATTTAATTCTACTCATAAATAAATATACATATCTTTTGAGAATCACATCTGCTACAGGAGTATATAAGTTCTGTGTGTAGACATTTATGAAAAGACTTGTAAAATCTAAGTTATCAACAAATATTAGTATCTTTATCTCAAACACTCAATATTGAATAAGAACATAAAAAGTAATAATTATATGTTTAATTAACAAATTTTAAATTCTAATTAAAAATTTGAATAATTACATAAGAAATGTACAAATATTATTAAAATTTAACAACCTTTATATTTAAATTACTACTCTAAATTGGGTGAAAATAATTTTTTATTTCACTAAAATTTACATAGCAATTATTTATCAAGAAATACAAATTGTTCTTCTGTCTAAATTTTTTAATTTTTATACAAGAATTAATATAAAAAAAGTTAATAAACTCAAAAATTTTCTTATTTGTTCATTTTAATGTATGAATGTAAATTTAATTTCTAATGTTTTAGGTATTGATTTAACTGTAGATGATGACGACTGAATAACTTCATTATTATATGAAATAATCACTACACAATTTTTAAATGTACAAAATTATTAACTACATAAAATAATTTTGTTACTAAGACTGAATGTTTCCAACTACCAAGGAAATTTATTTTTTAATTGTGCTATTGAATGTACATGTTTTTATATAAATAAAGAGCTCAAATTATAACATCACATTTCTGAATAATTATATTATAACTTAACTCCTAGTTAAAATCTTACCTGTTGTGCTTATAATGATTTTAGAAAAGTATTTTGAGTTATCTGATTATAATTTTGTCTGTTCTTGAATTTTAAAGCTACTATTGTAGCATCTTGGATGTTTTTTTTTTCATTCCATTTCTTCTAAATTAAAGCTAATTATGTTCTAGTTATGAAAGTTTCATTAATTTCATTTTATCACTATTTTTATCTTTTTTTAATTATTTATATCTATTGTTTGTCTATGTAGTATTTCTATTAAGACTATAATTAGTTATCACTAATTATAATTTTAAGTTCATTTAGCTGTTTTTATATAATTTTTAATGTAATATACTTTTTAACAATTTATCTAGTACAAAATATTTTTTTCAGTATAGTATTATTTAATATAATTTACAAAATTATCCACTATTGTCCTTGATAAATTTAATAATTTACAACCATCAAGGGACATGTACAAAATATGATTAATGTGTTACCGAAGTATAAGTAAAAATTTTATTTTTCATTTTAAATTTTTGAGATAAGCATAATTGTAATAAACTATTAATTATGAACATTGTCTAATATATCTACCGTGTATTAGTCTATATCCTAATGCTAAAATTATCCGCCACAACTTGCCAATTTTTCGTTAACCCTATAGATTTCTTTTTACTTCGATTTTTAACGACTTGTACGAGATTAGCAAATTGTAATTTGGCCGTAAAATGCTTATTGTTCACCCAAGATATAAATTTTACATCGTAATAGTCTTCTAAAGAATCTTCGATTTCTAAATGCACTTTTGCCTCATCTCTAGTCAGTAACACGCAATTCCATGGTGACCAGTGCTGTTCCTTTCGCCATCTAACTAATTTTAGCACATTTAATTGACTCGTTTCACTAATAGCAGACTTCTCTTCCCATATAATCGTTACAAGGCGGTAAATTTCGGTTGGTTGCATTATAAAACATTCCGAATGATAAGCGGCCATTTGCAATTCATCATGTCTTAAGGTCTTCAGGATTTTTCGATAAGGTGCCATATCAATGTGTTTGTGGCCCACTTTCTCAGCCCATTCGCAATTGGCGCACACGTTCGTTCTATTAACTCGGCTCTCTAGTGAAAAGTCAGTGGCCGCCAAGTTACGTTTGCATCGAATGCAAGTGTAGACATTCAAAATACGTTTTTCAGTAGGCCTGTAATACGAGTCCACTTCGGGATTCACTTCTGGTTGTCGGATGAAGTGCCGGAATAATTGCTCAATCCTTGACCGAATTGATTTCAAACTGACGGCTTCGGCTTGAATCTTTATTAAGTCTTTTTCCATTTCGATAACGTCCATAAAATCTCGCTTATACTTGTATTTGGATCCGCAAACGAGATTATATAAGTCGTCCAGAGAATGCAAACGATTGTCAGCTTTGCTTAGTAATAACTGAGAAGTGATCTTCAAGTAAATATCTTTTAGTTCTCTTGCTTTTTGATTTCCAACTGTATCCACAGTTAAAAGTTTACCATTTTTATTTTTAAATATTTTTGGTTTGGATGTCTTATTTAAAAAGGTAATATCGTCATGCTTAGTCAGCTCATATTTGAGCTCGAGTCGTTGTTTCTCGACTTCCATCAGGAATTTGATTTCTTTCTTCAACAAATTCATTTGTGCAGTTTTTCTGGTCGATTTGTCAGCTGCAATATCCTTGATGCTCCTTCTTTCTTTTTTTAACCATTTGCTAATCATCGCATAAAGGGTGTTATAATGTTGTTGTTTCAACTCTAATTGCGAGACACTTGATTTGATTGTTGCCGGTCTTTGTTTTTGTTCTGCTTGGACACGTTTCCTATGTTTCAAAACACGACGAAAAGCCCGTTGTATTATAATAACATTTTGGACGACTTTTTCTTCATGTAACCACATCGAGTCTCTTTGATAAGCTTTTGGTGAAACACATCGTATACCGTCTGACGCATTACCCGTTTGTACGCCGGTGTCCATCATCACGTGATTGATGGCCTTGTCAATAGCTGTTTGACAGGGTCTGTCTGCTTGAACGATGTTGGCATAAATTTTTGGTTTGAAATCTGTTTGAGCATTGGCATTGTGATAAACTTTTCCGCTAGAAAGGTCGCGGTAACCACCTAACCACGGTTTCACTCTAGTGCAGTTTTCAATTTCAACGATGATCGTTTTTCCTTTGACTTTTACAGTTATTACATCAACTACCGGTAAATAAAATGAGCACTTGGTAAGTTTTATACCTTCAGCTTGCAAATACAGCTCAAAAGTTCCCAAAGAAGTGGCACCTAGCTGTTTTAAACTTTGATCGTCTTCAAGTACTTCATCTTTGTGTTTTAAAATTATTTTACTCTTGTCAACATTGAGTACCTGGTGCAGATATGATTTCAATGAATCTACACTTGTAGACAAACTAAATGCATATGTTAATGTCTGGTTAGATTGTGTGAAAATTTTTACTGTAACTATTTCATCAGTTTTGTCTTTTCCATATTTTTCCATATTGAAATTAAATTGTTATAGTTTAATTGCGCCAAAAACGTTTGTTCAACTAGTTTAGTAAGCTATAGCAAATAAGCGCCGGCCATAGTAAAATACAAGTATTGATCACGCGGCAATAACCCGGGTAACGTTTCAGCTTTCAATTTCTAGTTCTATTGAAATAAATTCCATTTATTTCTTATTGAAAGTTTTAATTAAGAATTTCAGTAAATACTATGTTTATATATAATAAAGTTATAGACATTTTGATAATAAAAACATGTCATTATTGTTAGAGAAAAACGTCTTCAGACAAGGTCGGACTGGAAAGCCAACAAACTGCAGGACACAAAAATATTGAGGTTGCCTTGAAAAAGAAATGACGAGCATAAAAAAAAGGTCAAAAGTAAATTTTTTAAATCAGATTATGTTAATCATACCAGCTCTTGTCGCTCTATAGAATGCGACTCATGGAAATGGCTATATCGAAATAATAATTTTTTGAATTAAAACAACGTTACTGTTCATTTTGAATTTTTAGTTTAGCTTAAAATAAATTTATTAGATCTATAGTCAGGAATAAACAGTGTTTAAATTTTCCTTGTATTTCGAAGCTAAAAAATTGAAATAATTTTTTAATTATGATAAAAAAATTATTATTTTGGAAGTTATTAGCTTCGATGCGAAGCTGAGAAGGTATTGGTTTTACTAAGATGTGTGTTTTTTTTTTTTTTTTTTTTTTTTTTTTTT